ACTAACTACTAATAGGCGAATGAACCTGCGATTATTACTCGAAACAATTCCGCATAAAAACCGCGCACAACACTCGTACTATAACGAATAACATATATTTTTTTATGTTTCTTTTTGTAAATTTTCTATTTTGAGACGTACAAAATTGCGATATACAAACGTCGCATATTATTCGCAGAGTTGGTAAATAATAATTTTTGAAAAATTCTTGTTCTTTGACTAAATTGAAAATAACTATTAGGTGTAAAAAAATAGTCAACCAATGCGGTGCGTAACACTATTCCAAATGTGTTCGCATATTGATACATTATGCGAGGTTTATATGGATATGCGATTCGTAAATATACGAAAACAATACGCATAATCGATAGTTATCTAGCCTTATAGATTTGGATATGCGAATCGTAAATTATGCGAACATATGCCGCATACTCATAAATAATGCAGCGTTCGATTTGGATATGTGATAATCTAATTACGCGACTGGACCACGACCGCGACGATGCCGGAAAGAAGAGATCTCCGACGACGTCGACGAGCCCAATGTCGGCCGCGAAGTGCTATGGCGCCGTGATGCGGATCTGGCGAGGCAACTCAAGAATGCATCGAGCCGCGCCTACCATGCACGCAAGAGGCTAGCGCGACGCACGGGTGAGACGTAGGCCATTGATGGTGAAGTGTGCGGGGCGCGCGAAATGGGCGAGCGGGAACCGACGAGAGATGGTGCGCGACTGGCGCATGGGTGCGATACGCAGGCGAAGGAGATAGACGCGCGCGCGACAAGCACATCGGGTAGAGCCGCGAAGGGCGCGAAAGGTGTCGAGGACGCGGCGAGTGCCAGGGACGCGCGCGATGAAGCCGCGAGGCACGCGGGCGCGCGCGATGCGCGGGGCGGGTGTACACGCGCGATAGAAGGCGGCGCGACCTTAGTCCTCGAGGACTAAGGCAAGGCATGCGGGTGCCAGAAGTCCAAGGCGGCGAGAAGAGGCTAGGGCTTCTACTTGGAGTGCAAGACAAGATTACTTAGGATCCTCTAGATATTTAGTTTCCTTCTTTTCATAAGATTTCTAGATTGTTTAAGACACTTAGAGCATGCTTGGATACAAAATTTCTCAAAAAAATCCAAACATTTTTAACTCAACCACTTTTTTTAACTCAACTTTAACCCAACCTCACTATCATCAACATTATCAATATAATTAAATAATATCAATCAATCATTTTTACACATCACCTTACCTTAGTTCACTATTCATCCACTCACATAATTTTAACTAACCATCACTTAAAATCTTCTCTCTCCTACTTTACATCAAATCAACTTTAATCATTTTATTTTAAATATTATTCTAATATATCCACTAACAACTAACCATACCAACTTTTTCAACATTAATCAAACCAAACAAAAAAATTCGAACGAAACCAAAATTTTTTATATCCAATCATTTAATATTTTATTGCTTTATTAGAGTTATAGCTAGATTAGCACTATATCTATTTAAGTTCTATTATTTTTTTATTTATAATAATTATATATAAAATAAGATTATGTTTAATAATAAGATAAAAATGTTTAAGTATTTCCAAGTTATATTTTAGTAGTGACTTGAGAAATTCCAAGTATAAGACTATTTGGTATATTTTCTTCCAATTGCTTTCCTTCATTGGATGCTAAATCTTCCCCCAGAGTAACAAACAAGAAGCGCATACTTCATCACCGATGATTAGTTTAATTAAAATAAGGTGTATTAAAATTAAAAATTGTAAATAGTAAAAAATTTGTTTGAGATAAATATTTTCTTACTCTTCATTGATAAGTGTGATTTCTCTAATAGTCTTCATTGCACCCTTTCCAGTAACTATCATTTTCGAATCTTTCACTTGCAAAACAATTCCACAAACATCTATAGGAGGTGTTAATTTAATATAAAATTAAAAATATAAATAAATTATGAAATAGACTATAGATACAGTTTGATGGGACCAAAGCTGCTCCATTTTTGTGAAGATGGAGGTTAAGATCTTCAAAATCCACAAAGTTGAATTTCAATACATTTCCAATAGGATTTCCAATAGGCTTGGCGGCATCAATAACAGAAGTATCTGTATGTAACACCAATCCGGGTCTGAAATAACAAAAGCTTGGTTTGGTTTATTAACTTCACAGTTTTTTTTTTTTCCCGAAACGATAGAGGTATATATAAATAAAAACCGCATAAAGTGCGAAGAGAAAACAGTCAAAAGCTGAATAGTACAACCAGAGGCTACGAAAAACTGGGAGGCCGATCCGAAGATCGCCTAGAGCCTACTAGCAACGCCAGAATAACAAAACTCGCAACTACACAGAAGCAACTACTACGAACAAACTAAAACAACTAAAAGACCCCAACAAGGTAATGCCCAAGTTTGAGATCCCAATAGGATAGTTAGAAATAATATAAGTATTATTAATTGCAAATTTTTCCTTAAAGAAATCAATTTTATCATTGAATATTATTACACCAATTTTTATTCCCTGCAAAATATGAAAGTATTTATAAATTAAGTTTTATAATTTGAAAAATATAAAAATTGGTTAAATCGCATAAAAGTTGGTAGCACTACTTGCCTCTTCATCAGTCATAATAATTTTGCGAATCCTCGTTGAAAGATTTTTCCCGTAAGAGAGGTCAGGTGCAATTCGTAGAACTTTTAGGCGTAGTTTGGAATCTTTATTATTTTCTTTCAAAAGTCTCAAAGGTATGGAAGTTTGGTTTTCCATAATTGTCCTGTTGTAGAATTAATAATTATAGTAATAAATTAAAATGAAAAAATAATAATCAGAGGAATTACAAATGTATAAGTGTGCGAGTGGAGAATATTGTTGGAGTTATGAGGTATATGATTAACAGCCATTTACAAAAAGAAGGGTGACTCTAAAAAAATTACACTAACAAGCTTATTTACATATTTATTAAATAAATAACGTTATATAATACAATTACAATTGACTTAATGAAAAATTTAATAAATAATTACATTTCTTATCGAAATTTAAAAAAATTATGTTTAGAATTTGAAAAAAATATATAATAGAGTAAATTGTGGGGAATATAAGTTGACATCCAAATCCAAAACTAATTACAGATTTTGCACCCATTGACTAAAATAAAACAATTGTAAGTTGTAAACTTTATGCAAAATTTGAAAAAACTTAATTAAAGATTCGACATACTTACTTGAATTTGCTGCACCAAGTAGTTGAAAATTGCAAAAGTAGTTTTGCTGTGAAAAAATATTAAGTTTGTATCATAAAAATATAAATAAGAAAATAATAATAATAATAATAATAATAATAATAATAATAATAATAATAATAATAATAATAATAATAATAATGATAATGATAATAAAGTGCCTGCAATTGAGGATTGTGAGATTGATAAGATGATGGTAAGCTTGTTGGTATAAATAGTTAACCATGTATATTGATTATTAAATGATAGTGATTATTGTAGATTATGAAAGATTGTTTTCATTTGTTATTGTAATTAAAAAGGAATTGATGACATTAAAATTTTAGTTGTTACTCATTTAGATAAACAATTATAACAATGTAACGGAAGAGTTAATTTTGGATTGTTTTATGAAGAAAATATTCAGCAGAAAACAATCAAGACAAGACCAACACTACAACTTCCATATGAATACTTACGAACAAACTTGTTGATGAATTTACGGAAAAAATAATTAATTTTCTTGGGGAAAAAGAAAAGAAAAAAAATAAACTCAACCTTCTCTTTGAGCATATGAAGGAGAGTTGTATTGGTGGTCATGATTACGGGTTAACTGGTTTATTCATAATTATAACTGGGCAATTAACGTTGTGAGTGCAGTGGGTACTCACAATTCCAAGAAGTGGCCTGCCATTGAAAAAAAATATATTAGCTGCCATTCAAAAAGTGTAGTAACCAATAAAAAAACCATAAACTCTAATAATGAGTATAATCAAATGCGAAAGCAAGATTAATGAAGAATTGGGGTAGTATTTGGTATAATAGAATAAAAAAAATATCTGTAGAGAGTTACAACAATTAAACTATCCAACTGTAGAGGGTTGAAATAGTAAAATTTTGTAAGTTACAGACAATAAAATGAACAATTTATGAACTAAATCTATATAATCAATAAAATGTTTACGTCATGAATATGAAGTTGTTAAGGAAAAATTATAGTATTATTCATCTGATGATGACATGGTATTTAGTGTTTTGCATTATTTATAAGGAATAGATAGGTCATATATCTTCAAATAAATAGGAAAACCGTCATCAACAATCAGCTATAGCTCTTATTTTTGTCACCGAAATATTATGTTGAAGCTATATATATACTATGTAAGGTTACTTAGAATGAAAATATATATAGATATATCGAGAATCAATGCTAATAAAAATAGATGATATTAATCATATTTCGTATAATCGAATGAAAATTGAACTCAAAGTGTGTGCAGAGGAAAACAAAGAAATAGAAAATGAAGAAGGTACCTCTTAATAACACCATATCTACTGCTTTTCATAATAAAAAAGTTTACCTTGAATTTGTCTGTGGCCTCACATATTACATCCTTTGGGTCCCTATAATCCACCATTGTTTCCACCCTGACGTACGCCATAACATTTCAAATGACGTTATTACCATCCTGTTCCACACAACTTACAAATTTAAATAATTTGTAAAAATATTTTTATTTTTTTTTCCTATGTAGTTCCTAAATTCATAATATTTGAGCACAGAACAGTTGTAGAAAAATCGATTATCAAATCACCACGAGTTATAAAAAAAGCGACCCAATGTCAAGCGAGATGATGCATCCGGCCCCCATTTTCGAAGCTGTTATATCAAGAATGTTAAAAGTTTGGATGTAAAAACTTCTTGACAATAACCAGATTAAGCAGAGTGCATGAAAAAGTAATCACAGACCGAACCTACTTGCATCATTATAGCATCGATCCATGGAAATCTCGTCCTGCAATCCTTCCAAGCAGGCAGTAATTCATCATCATCTTTCNAAAAAAAAAAAAAAAGGAAACAAATGAAAGAAGAAAATACTCACCCGAATGGACTAAGAAACAAGTTCTTCAAGTAGAACAGAGGTACTCTATAATTTGGTTGTTGTCTAATAACTAAAACAATTGACTGGAATAGTTGGAACATCAAATTATATTTTGAGATTATTGCATAAAAATGCCATTTACATACGAGTTATGAATTGAGAACTATTTGATTGGTTTAAGCGAGATAGAAAGAGAATTAGTGTATGCAGTTCAATTTACAACTTTCAAATTATCAAATGTTAGGATCTGAATTTAAAAGAGATATGATTACATTTTTTATGATATAATTAGTAATATTACAAGCAAGGATATTGGTTAAGGTCAGAAGTTGTTCTCCATATTCTGGCTGGTTAAGGTCAGAAGTTCTCCGTATTGTGGCCTAGTTTCAGATAATTGCCATGGGTGGCTCCGCCCCTATGTATAAGAAATCGATAATATAGTTTTCTGTGCAATGACGTCACACTATATTATCTTTAATGTCAATAATATGATAAGACAAATCTATACATAAAGTAAATTGTACAACCATAGACTAAACATGATTCTTTTATTCAAATGGAGATAAGTTCAAACGAAGCATTGCTTTCAGTATATAAACCATCATAAAATCATATTCTGTTTTTTTCCCATTCCTCCATATTTCTAGCATGCTTAATGCATGATTTTAGCTTGTTTTGATCGTCCAAATATCCCTTAAATACACAAAACGTTTGCAAATTCAACAAAATTTAATTTACTTGAACTCAATTTTGATTTGCATAACTCAAATTCGCCCACATTTCAAATTTAGAACTAATTTGTCATTCACCTCAAAATAGTTTTAAAATTTATTTTCTCAGTCTTCCACATACGAAAAATGGAACCGTAAAATCGTTACACGGCCAATTTTGGGTGCTCCAATTTCAATGATAAACAAACTAAAAAGACTAGCATATCCAAGGCTCATGGGGATTAACAACCATAACTTCCTTGTAAAGTTTGCAGGAGATTCAAAAACTACCCTTCAAAACCAGTCATATATGTATGTATACATATATATTTGAAAAAAAAAGCCCCCAGAAAACAAGTATATGCTGGTTTACTCTT